CCTCCTCCTGCCCGTGGCAGCGCGGCCTCGTCCTCTCCAAGCACGGCCTGTATCTAGGCCGCTGGGACGTGTGACAAAGCTTCCGCACCCCTGAAGCGTGGCTGGGGGTGAGTGCAGGGCCCCCCCTGGCCACGCAGGCCACCCGGACAGCCCGCCATTGGACGCTGGGGACGTGCTTCCCACCACGCCCGGGGGTTTGTCAGTCATGTCTCCTTGTGGTTTTGTGAGTGTTTTCTCGTTGAGGAACGCACTGAGCCACGCACAGACTCGCAGATCTGGGGTTGGGTCCCAAGGGTGCCTAACTGGGGCACCAGGTGCCCCGGGGTCTCACCCCCATCAGCATCCTGGGAACAGGGTCACGGGAACCTGTGTCCTGTCTTGAAACTCGGACTGCAGTGGGAAGTGGCAGGGATGATGCCCCCGAGGGACGGACACTCCACACTCTCAGTTTGTCCCAGTGACCCGCCGTGACCTGCCGTGACCCACTGTGACCCGCCATGACCTGCTGTCACCCGCTGTGACCCACCGTGATGAGCTGCTTGCTGGCATGTTCTCACTCTTACTTGGCACAGAGCCCTGGACTCCGACTCTCAGGTTGGGGGCGCCCAGCATGTTCGGGTCTTGGCCTTGACCCCCGTGTTATCCTGTGAAGGTTCTGGCTAGGCTGCTGTGCTCCTCTGTCACCGCTGTGTCCCCTGGGACTGGAGAGTCCTTCTTGTCCCCACTGGTCCTTGTGTTTCTGTCTGTCCCCGCGCGTCCCACGGGAAGGCCTGCCCTGTGCACTTACACTGGTGGGGACCCAGCCCAGGGGGGACCAGCCCAGGGCCGACGCCCGAGTGTCCACATCGAGCTCAGAGTGTGGCAGCTGTGTCCCCTGTATACGTGATGGTCAGGACGCCAGTGTGGGCCGAGGCAGTGGGAGGAAATGCCAGGAGGGGGATTGGGTACTGGCCACTCTGCTCCTGGCCTGAGTCTCCAGCTCTAGTCCCTGGCGGGTGGCCCTCTGAGGACGGGGGACAGCATGAGGATGGCCATCTGAGGCCCTCTCCAGGCCAGCAAGCCCCTCCCGAGGACTGAGGGCCTGTCTCCCCGTAGGGCCGATGGAGAGCAGTTGCTGTCATCAGTGTGGCCACACCTGGCCGACGCCTGCCCGAGCAGCGGGACCAGGCCAGGCTGGACCTCGGGGCCTGGGACTCTGGACTCCCGCGAAGGAGGAGCTCCGGGAACCAGCCAGCGGGTTGCAAGGTCTCAATTAAAATGATTTTCCATGTAATAGTGCAACGAACCTGAGAAGGTTTCCGCACAACTTGCTTTGAGGACATGCTCACAGCCCTTCCGGTGACCGGACTCGGTGTGGGTGGCAGCCCGCCCCTGGGACTGGGCTGGGGATCATGAGGGGCTAGTGCCCTGCCGCCAGCCTGGGCGATGAAACCTCGAGGACCAGTTTCTGTAGAGTCTGCAGGGAGAGGGTACAAGGGGCTCACCTTGTCGAGGTGTGGGGTCTTGGGACAGAACCCCGATGCCAGGCCAGCCCAGAGCCAGTGCCTCAGGGGACCGTCGCAGTGAGGGGGGCGGCACCAGGCTTGTAGCCTGTGGGCCGAGGTGAGCGTCCCCAGCCCCTTCCCCCAGGCCAGGTACAATGGCCGTCTGGACTGCAGCCCACACGGGTGCAGCAGAGAGCCCGGGGTTCCACGGTGGCTGTGGCCGCTGGTGCTGGAGCAGGGACACGGTGTCCAGGCACGGCCTTGTCCTGGTCCTGTGGGTGCCAGCAGGCCGTTCAGGGCCCTGATCTGACAGACTGGCCTGCAGGGCCCCAGATGTCCTGACCAGTGGCTCCCAGACCCATCTCCAGCCCTGTTTTCTCCCTGCTGACCATTGCTGTCCCGGGCTCTGGGAGCCCCCCTGGCTGGAGGACAGTCCCATCGGGGTTGGCTCGGCCACCAGCAGGGCCCAGAGGTGGGCTGTGGGCATGAGTGTGTTTACTCACTGCCAGGTCGCAGGGAGGAGCTGAGGCCAAGCTGGAGGTCAAGGGGCCTGAGCGGGCAGTGCGCTCGTCCTCCGGGGCAGGCGAAGAGCAGGGACGGGCCCGTGGCCACGGCCTGGCCCTGCAGACGCCCTGCCCACCCGCAGGGGAGCAGGGGACGCTCACCTCGGCCCACAGGCTACAAGCCTGGTGCCGACCCCTCACTGCGACGGTCCCCTTAGCACCCCAAGCCGCTCACTGCCCTAAGCGCCGCAGCGGGGGACGCTCCCCAGGCGGGGGACGCTCCCCAGGCGGGAGAATGCAGCGTGTGCTGTGGACCCCGTCTGTGGTTCCTTCCCACAGCCACTCCAGGACGCGGACCTGCGTCCACGGCACCTGCTCTGGGTCTCAGCTTGGAGTGGATCCACGTGCAGGCCTCGGGGGGAGCGCTGGGCGGCCTCGTCATTCCGGCCCCAGCATGGCGGCGCCTGGGGTGGAGGCGTCTGGCTGACAGTTGCCTCTGACACACCTGCCTGGGTGAGGGTCCTCTGGGATGTGCAGCCCTGCCAGTGCCCGCACTGTGGCCGCCTGGCCGCCCCCTTCCACGCGGGGATCTAGGCTCAGGTGTTCCCACGTGCCTGGGCAGGTGTTCTCACGGCTCGTGTGCCGATTAATGCCATCGGTGGGGAGTCGCACGGCTGGTTGGTGGCTTACTTAGCAGCTGGGACTCACGGTGTCCGGGGAAGCAGGAGACGGGCCTCTGCTGCCCACTGACATACCCCGAGGACTCGAGCCCGGCCAGGCGGTAGTGAGGAGCGGCCCCTGTCTGCCAGCAGAGCTTAAAATAGCGGCAGGACAGAGGCCTCCCAGCTGCAAATCACAACATCCAATGGGCCTGTGAGCCCCGGCGTCTGCCGTGCGCCCGGCCGGCTCACACAAATGCTTCCCGTGGTCGCGTCTTGTGGCAAAAGGAGCATCGTGTCCGCCCAGCGCTCTTCCCACTGATGCGTTTGTCCACTTGCCCGGTTCATGTCCCCTCGGTTCTCTGAGCGGCTGTAATTCTTCCTGTAATCGGCTCATGGAAGTCCAGGCCTCCGGCCGAAGCCTTCCGGGGACGGCACTGGGCACTGCCCCCAGTGGGGTTTTGCTCCACACGGCGAGGGGCCCTGGCGTCCAGGGAGGAGATGCCCAAGAAACCCCACTGGTCTCCTTCGTCCTGCACCTGTGCTGTGCTCCCAGCAAACCCTGTGTGCCATCAAGGGCAGGCTCTGGCCACCGCACACAGTCCCGCTGAGCCCAGGGCTGGGCGTGCCCAGTGCCCACCACTGCCGCCGCACCCGTGGCTCCTGGCTCTAACTCAGACTCGGCACCCCCAGGGTCGAGGGTGGGCTAGGGCAGCTCTCGGCTGCTCTATGTGCTTTGTCCGGCCAACTTGGTGATGCCTGATTTGGACCCGGTTCCCTGGGTGGGCTGGGGACCCCCACGTGACACAGGTGACAGAAAGGCAGGGACAGTGTTGTGCAGTGAGCTGCCTGGAGGACCCAGGGTCTGCTGGGAGGAAGGGCCTGCAGTGACAGCAGTAGCGTGGACGAGGAAGGACACTGGGGCTGAGAAACACTGTCTGGGGTCGCAGGTGCTGCCTGCTTTCCCTCTGCAGGGAAGGGACGGCCCCTCCCCCCACCTGCCCTTCAGGCCCCTCAGATTGGTGTCTTTTCTCTGTTGTTCCCTTGTTCTGAGGTGCACCACCCCCCACGATACTGTCCTGTCTCACTCTCGGCCCCCACGTGATGGGCGGGCTGGGCCCCTGCATCTGGGCATCTGTATGAGGTGGTTTTCCCAGCGGTGGGATCCCCTCGGGGCACCATGCCATCTGCGTCGCTCGCATCATGGGCTCAGGGTCCAACATCGTGGACAGTATACAGCAGGTGCCTACTGTTTGCCCAGGGAATGGAGGCGCAGGCCATGAGCAAGTGGGACCTCTGGTGGTTCTCCGGAGGGGACATGCAGGTGGGGCCGTGGCTGCGTGGCTGGGGGCAGCTGGTGTCCTGGCCCAGGGAGGGACCTGCACGGCTGAACGAGGGACGACCTCCCGTCTCCCATGGGGCGAGGTGGCCAGTTTCCGTCTGTCCACCCTCCGTCCACAGCTGACTTTATCGTCCGAGTGAGCATCTGGCACTTAGCGGAGGCACCGGTGTCCCAGGCAGAGGGACGTCCTGCGGAAGGTGGGGTTCTTCCTCTGCTGGGATGTGGACCCCCTGGGCCCTAGGCCGGACAGGCACCCCCGCTGGGATTTAGGAGACAGGAGGGGAAGGGGAAGCCACTTCACTGGTTGACTTGTCCCGTTCGAGGTCACCGTGTCCTTTCTGTGTGTGCCTCGCTGGCCCAGAGACAGACCAAGGCCCCAGGTCCCCGCTGTCCCCGGTCCTGTGCCCACGAACTCTGAGGAGCTGCGGCCGAGTCCACGTGGGGAAGTAGGAGTGAGGGGCACTTGCAAAAGCGCGTGTGCACATCTCACATGCGTGCACCCACCAGCCTGTGTGGGGGAGAGGAGGTCCCGGACGGCCCGGCATGGCTGGTGACGGCCGGGTCCCCGCTGCTCTCGGCCAGCCCCGTATGGCGGGGTTTTCTCCCTCACTGCCGCTCACAGACCCGGCGAGGGTCTTCGCTGCATGCTCTGCCCTCAGGCCAGGCTGCGTGGAGACCCCGGGGCCCAGGCTGGATTCCGACAGCCCCGCTCCGTGCAGGCTGGCTCCCTCCATCAGACTCCTGACCGCGTGACGCGGCCTCTCATTTCCGGGCGTGGCAGCCCGGGCCACGTTTAATTTCCTGGCTGCCCGTGAGCTGTGTGGAGCGGAGCTGCGGGCCTGACCCGGCGCCCGCGCTCGGGGAGCGTGTTCCCGATGGCAGGGGCCTGAGACGCATGCGCTGGGGACGCGGCCTGCCTCCCTGTGCCCCCAGGGCCCCTCCGCGGGCGGGAGGGCTGCGCGGCCTGTCCCCTCACAGCAGACACTCAGCGGCGTCTGTGTCTCTCTTACAGGTCAGCTGGCCGCCGGCACCTGTGAGATTGTGACCCTGGACCGGGACAGCAGCCAGCCTCGGAGGACGATCGCCCGGCAGACGGCTCGCTGCGCCTGCAGAAAGGGGCAGATCGCGGGCACCACGAGAGCCCGACCCGCCTGCGTGGACGGTAAGAGCCCACAGCCAGAGACCCCGTCGAAGGCAGGGGTGGCGAGGTGCCACCTGACACAGCGCGCCCCACCCCTGCCCCAGCCCAGGTCATCTGCGAGGGCCTCCTGTTCTCTGGGTCGGGCCTTGGGCTGCACAGTCCCCATGGGGTGATGGCGCCAGGGGCAGCGTTGGCTCGTGTGCGGTGTGGTGTCTGTGGTGCTGCGGGGCATGTGGGGGGCGGGGAGCCTGGGTGCCGCGCGTGCCCGCGGGGACTTGCTGGCCCCCTGGAATTGCCGTGGGCAGAGGGGAGCGGAGGCCGTGCCTCACGTAGGATGGCTGTGGCCCGGACGCCGTTATGTCCATCACCCGTGGCTTCCCGCTGAGGCTGCCCGCAGGGCGTGGGCTCCTCCTGCTTCGGGCTGGGCAGGCGTCAGGCACCCCTGCAGACCCCATCCCCTCGGGTCTGTGAGAGGTGGCAACGGCGTCCCCGCGGCCACCGGATCACGCTGTCCGACAGCTGAGGGGCGCCGCGTCCGGGAATTGTCTTTGAAACAGAATCGGATATTCTAGAGGAGGCGCAGGGAGCCCTCACAGCGGCTGTCCGGGCAGCTGCGCCATCCAGGTCGAGGGGGCGCTCTGTGTGGCCCAGCAGGAACCCTGGCCCCCCGCGGCACTCAGCACGGCCTCCCCACGGGCTAAGAGCACCAGAGGCTGCCCGGAGCCCTGTCACTGGAGAGGGTGGCCTTGTGGGGTCGGCGGGCTCCCTGGGGTCAGCAGCCCCATGCAGGGGTGTGCTGCGGCCTTGGTTCCTTGGGAAGCTGCAGGATGTATGGTCACCGCACGATAAGACAGCCAGGTCCTGCGGTCACCCCCGCCCTTTGCTCCCAGGAGCCTCTGAGTGGAGCTCTGGGCGCCAACCCCATCTGGTCGCCTTTACCCGGGAGCCCCTTCCTGCCGATCCATGACCCCGGGACCCACGCCGTCCTCACGAAGGTCTGCTGAGGAATGCAGCAGGTGCCGAGCACGGGACTAGGACATTTTCGGGGCTCAGGGCATGGAAATGCACTAGTGGTGATGGTGGGGCCGCTCCGGGAGCGAGGGCAGCTTTCTCATGGGCCAGGCAGGCCCCAGTGTGGCCCCCAAAGTCACAGCGGCCCCCGGGGCAGGAAGGAGGAGAGCCACGACGCCCCCTTGCAGGGTGGAGACCGACTGGCTTGGGGCGCCCCTGCCCCCAGCATCACCAAGGAGACTGTTTGAGGGCATCTGGGGATGTGGTGGGGCAGTGAGTCTGCCTGCACCTCCAGCGGCTCTGGGCCTCTGGCGGGGGGGGAGGGTAGGAAGCCTGGCCCCACCCCGCCCCATCCAGGTACCCCATGCACCTTTGCGGCTGAGCCGGCTGCTCCGCCTGGCTGAGGGGGGCCTGCGGGACCCAGAGTACCCTGAAGGCCCAGCCAGGCTCCCAGCGGCCCCACCCCAGCCCAGCCCCTGTGTCAGCAGCCTCCTGGCCCCCACGGCCACGTGCCACCCCCCTGCACTGCCAGCTCTGGTGTCGGGGGCCGCAGGCACACGGGAGCGTCTGGAGGATCTGGCGCTCCGAGGAGCTCGTCCCGGAGGCTGGGTGTGTCTTCTAGACGTGTCCGTCCGTAGTAGAAGCACCTGTCGGTCAGCATCCCTAGAAGGCACACGCTTGGGCCGGCAGGCGGGGGCTTCTCCAGGCCGCCTGGGCATTCAGGAACTCCGGCTGCGGGCCCAATTCCATGTGAATTCGGGCCACTCAGCTGTACTCGTCCCCACGCTTCCCGCCCCGTCCAGCTCCCAGACCTGGAGCCGCTGCTGGTGACAGGGCTGCTCCTCCTTGCTGAGGCCGATTCTGCCCCAGGCGTGGTGAGGGCCGCGCGCCCAGCGGGCGCTCACAGCGGCATCCCTGCCTCTGTCCTCGTTAGTCCCGCGAGCCTGCAGGGAGGCTTGGGGTCAGAGCTGGCGACTCACCGAGTCCGGGTCTGCTCCTCTGCAACCATGTTCTTCCCCCCCCCCGCGAGCCTCCCCGCACCTCAGGAGCGGCTCCGGAGACCCAGGTTAAACCCCGCCGTTTCCGGGGGCGGCGGGACAGAGGAGTCGGCTCGAGTTCTGCGCGGTGGGCGTGTTCCCAGCGGCCCTCGCATTTAATTTTTGCTCTTCTGGTTTCCCGCTCTGTGTGCGTAGTTTCCTCACGTGGGACGGTGCCCGCGAAAGAGAAGACCTGAGCCTGCCTGGGGGGCCGGCATCCGTGCGAGCCGGACTGCAGCTGGGGGCGTAGGCTGACCCTAGTTCGCTCCGCGGGGCAGCTCGGACGAGGGAGCGCTCCCGCGTCTGCGCACCTGTTTGCTCGTTTACGGACTTGTTCATTCCCTCCTTCCCTCATTCGTTCGTTCAGATACAGTGTGTGCTCCGGGGGGTTGACTCTGCTGGGGGCTGGGGCCCAGACTGTGGGGCAGGGCCTGTGGGTCCCCGGGGCACAACCTTCTTTACCTGGAAGGCCTGGGGCCCTGTCAAGGGTCTGCAAGGGGCATTTGCACAGGGTATTGAAGGATGAAGAGGAGCTCACCAGGGAAGCTTCTCTTCCGGAAAGGAGGGGAGACTCCTGGCTGCGTCTTTGAACCCCAAGCGTCTCTGGGGGGCGACTGCCGGGCCTGCACTTGGCCACACCGTGACCCGCTCCACCTGCGCGCAGTCCTTCCTTCCACCTTAGATGTCGGGACAAGAGGCTCCGAGGCGAGCCGCAGTCCTCTCTGCCAGGCCGTGTGTCCTCAGCACAGTACAGGTGCTCCAGCTTGCCCCCGGGGTGTCCTGGTCATGGACACTGCAGTCCGTGGCGTCTGGGCATGCTGTGGGCCTGTACCCGCAGCAGCAGCTCCAGGAAACCCCGAACTCCCCTCGCCCTGTCGGCAGGAGCCTGCAGGCCCTGTGCCTCCGCAGGGCTGCCGTGAGGGCCAAAGCCCTTCTTGAAAGGAAGCAAAGTAAAGGAAGCGGGTGCGGCCCTGCCCCCGGCTACGGGGGAAGGGAGAGGTGTCCCTGGGACCCTGCGGCGGGGGCCCCAGGTCTGAGCTCCACACAAGCCTGCCCTGAGGGCCGCAGCCTGTCTGAGGAGCAGGAGGGTGAATGGCTGGCTCTCTGGCTAGAGAGGCTCTGAGGAAGTGACGGGTCCTGTCGGCGCCCAGCCAGCCATGCGCTCCGATGGCCCTGCCAGGCTCCTGGCCGAGAAGCCCACCTGTCTTCCAGGGGGGCCTTGTCCTTTGTCCCCAAGGAGGGAACACAGCACGCCACGTGCCTGCGCGGGAACTTCAGAACTGTAACGTACCCCTCCTTTCCAGGGGTGCCTGTGTGCCGGGAGTCCTGGGGGCAGAGGGGGGGAAGGTGTCGTCTGCAGTCCCCTGTGTGCTGGCCAACGGATGCTGGCAGGCTGGGCCCCCGTCTCCATCTGCAGACCGGACACTTTCGGCTCTGCGTGCTGGGTACAATGTGTAGACGCCTTTTCTAAGCACTACCTGCTCTACCCAACCCAGGGAACCACCGACCGCCGTCCATTCTTGCCAGCAGTGGGTGACGCACATGTCCTAGTTGTGGCCTGGGTGCCCTGCCGACGACGACGTGCAGAGCAGGGGCAAAACATTGGGGGGTTTGTGCATGGACGAGGGCTGTGGTTCCAGATGAGCGTGGGACCCTCCGTCCAGGGGAGGGAAAGGTCTAGAGATAAGGCCCCACGGATTCCATCCGCAGCCCTATGACAGTGGTGCTGGGACCCCTGGAAGCCACACGGCCAGCGCTGAAGCTAGACCCCATCTCCCACTGTGGACGGAAGCCAACGTGACATGGGCCATAGACCGAATCCCTAGAAGTCTTAGAAGAAAACAGGGTGACTCTTCACGACCTGCGTTTGGCGAAGGATTCTTAGATCCGGCACAAAAAGCATGAGCAACAAGACAGAGAGAGCGGGTAAGGGAGAGAGAGCGGGTAAGGGAGGCTCCACCAAGACTAGAAGCCCATCTGCTTGGGAGAACACTGCTGGGCCGGGGAAAGGCCAGCCCACGCAAGGGGAGGGAGCATTTGCCCGTAACGGATCTGGCGACGGACTTGTTTCCGAACACACAGAACTTCCGTGATGAGATCAACAAAGGGCCAATAGCCCGTTACGAAGCTGGCAGAGGACCTGAGTAGTAGCTGCTTCTAGGAAGATCTTCGTGCAAACGGCCGCTGAGCACATGGGAAGCTGCTGAGCGGGGCTAGCGCTTGGGAAGAGGCAGACTGGGCCCACGGAGCACACCATGGCATCCCCACCGGTGTAGGGAGACACCAGCACCGGAGCACTGGCTCAGGGAGCAGCACCGAGTCAGGCCATCCCAGGACCCTCATGCGCCGCGGGTGGGAAAGCGGAACCGTGCGGCTGCTTTGGGAACCGGTCCGGCTCCACGGTGTGCTGTCACGTGGCTGGGCAGTTCTGTGCTTCGTGGGATCCCAGGTGCCCGCTGAAGAGCAGGGAAAGCGTGTGTCCCCAGGAACCCTTGCACACGGGTGTTCTCAGTGGTGTAAACCTGCCGGAAGAGTGGAAATGCCCCAAATGCCCGTCCATGGACGAGTGACCAAGCGGCGTGTCTGAGAAACGGAACACGGTTGAGCCAGAAAAAGGAGTGACGTTCCACAGCCTGGAGGGACCCTGAACCATAGCTGCTGGACACAGAAGGACAGATGTGGTGTGAGTTCAGTGACACGAATGTCCGGGACAGGCCAGTGTGCACAGCAGGAAGGACACGAGTGGCAGCAGGGGCGCTGGCGGGCGGGAGCGTCGGGGAGCCATCGGCCGCGAGCCCAGGGCTGCTTTCCAGGCCGTGAGCATGTTGTCCGCTGCTGGTGGGGGCACAGCTCTGTCCGTGAGGACTGTGGGCGACGCACTGCAGGTGGGTGTATGACTCGCGGCGCCGTGACGCTGTCTGCGTGCCAGGAGGAAGGTGGCCGTGGGGCCGCGGGAGACTCAGCCCCAGCACA